CGCTGCCTTCCCTCCGGCGTAGTGACGCAGTCGCTGCCTTCCCTCCGGCGTAGTGACGCAGTCGCTGCCTTCCCTCCGGCGTAGTGACGCAGTCGCTGCCTTCCCTCCGGCGTAGTGACGCAGTCGCTGCCTTCCCTCCGGCGTAGTGACGCAGTCGCTGCCTTCCCTCCGGCGTAGTGACGCAGTCGCTGCCTTCCCTCCGGCGTAGTGACGCAGTCGCTGCCTTCCCTCCGGCGTAGTGACGCAGTCGCTGCCTTCCCTCCGGCGTAGTGACGCAGTCGCTGCCTTCCCTCCGGCGTAGTGACGCAGTCGCTGCCTTCCCTCCGGCGTAGTGACGCAGTCGCTGCCTTCCCTCCGGCGTAGTGACGCAGTCGCTGCCTTCCCTCCGGCGTAGTGACGCAGTCGCTGCCTTCCCTCCGGCGTAGTGACGCAGTCGCTGCCTTCCCTCCGGCGTAGTGACGCAGTCGCTGCCTTCCCTCCGGCGTAGTGACGCAGTCGCTGCCTTCCCTCCGGCGTAGTGACGCAGTCGCTGCCTTCCCTCCGGCGTAGTGACGCAGTCGCTGCCTTCCCTCCGGCGTAGTGACGCAGTCGCTGCCTTCCCTCCGGCGTAGTGACGCAGTCGCTGCCTTCCCTCCGGCGTAGTGACGCAGTCGCTGCCTTCCCTCCGGCGTAGTGACGCAGTCGCTGCCTTCACTCCGGCGTAGTGACGCAGTCGCTGCCTTCCCTCCGGCGTAGTGACGCAGTTAAGGCGTACACTGTATATGTGAGCGTTAATACTAGCACCTATGACAGTAATGGAACTATAATTACACTAATGCCATTAATGACACTAATAGCAGGAACTAATGGTTCTGAGGACACTGTTGTCACTAATGGCAATGTTGTAAATTATTTATCCTTGTTTTAGAACACACAGCGCGCCACACAAGCGTCCTGCTGACACACAGCCCAACACAAGCTTGTATATCTTGTCACAAACTGAACATTTTGTTTCAATGAAAAGCCGTAGTTTTGAAATGCGAAATTGTAATCCATGAAAAACATTTTAATAAACTTGCCGTGATATATAATAAAATGGTGGACGTTAGTAACGAAGGAATGTTTAAACAAAAACAATAGCATCATATTTATACAGTCAAGATGAAATTTGTCTACAATTCTAGTCGTTTAAAAAGTTATTCGAAATTAAACCTAAATACTAAATACCAAATACCTAAATTAAACCTAAATAAACCTAAAAATACTTAAATTCTTCAGCAGAGGACAATGCTCAAGCCTGTCTCTGGCCACGTCAAAGGATGTCAATTTAATAAGAAACAGAGCCCTAACTATCACCATTTATGATGTTTTTTTAATTCATCGGTTACCTTCATTCATGACATCACAACAACCCAATACAGATAATTGCAGAAGATTATTGTGATTACCTTCAGCCTGAGCACCTCCGCCACCACCCAGCACCAAGTGTTGCACACGATTACCTTCAGTCTGAGCACCTCCACCACCACCCAGCACCAAGTGTTGCACACGATTACCTTCAGTCTGAGCACCTCCGCCACCACCCAGCACCAAGTGTTGCACACGATTACATTGGCCGAGCTAAGCAGCGTCTTGCGTCGCTGATGGAGATGATGCGCGTGCATTGAAGACGCGCGTCTGTGATTGGTCGAGCCATCAGCAGCGAGAAGGTGCGATGAAAAGCATGTGGGTTGGTCACGGTCGTAGCGGCAAGAGGCTCTTAACGCTGCGGGCATACGGGCACGATTAGTTCAATGACTTGGGTACGCTTCGTGCCTTGCTACGTGCACTGACCTGGTTGCGCAGGGTGATTCATCAAAACTACCTGATTTGAAAACTCAATAAGAAAAGAACTGGCATTGATAGTATTATAATATAAATTTTATTTAGAAAGATATCACATGAATTTTTATATCGTTTAGTTTAAAAAATGACATCGTGCATATGACGGCCCCCATTTTCAATGAATTTAGTTAGTTTATTTTTAAATTCCGTTCAACGCGCCGAAGTATATCGTTGGCCCGATCTTTCGCAAGCCCGATCCCCTGATTTGGCTCCGTGTTATTTTTTAATTGGGTTATCTTAAATAAATAGTCTAAAATGACTGTCCAAAGACCACACCTCATTTGAAGAGCAACATACGCCAAGCCTTCGTCAACATACCCGTCAATATGCTTCAGCGAGTTGCACTGAACTTCAAAAATCAACCGACTGAATTCATCGACAAAGGGGGCCGTCTTTTGCCCGATGTCATCTTAAAAACTAGACCATAAAAAAATTTCAGGTTATGTCTTTTTCAATAAAATTCATATCGTAATGATATCATATTTAGTTCAATTTTTATCAAGCTTTTAAATCAGGAAGTTTATGTGAACCACACTATACAATGCCAGCCGAGACTGGCAAGGAGAGCTGCAAGTGGACACTTGACACATTGAAACACATGATGCATTATACCACTTGGTACGTTGTAACTCTTGACACATTGAAACTCCTGATGCATTATACCACTTGGTACGTTGTAACTCTTGACACATTGAAACTCCTGACATTTCTTAACACTACGTTGGAATACATGGCACGTTGACACACTTGACACGTTGAAACGCTTGGAACTGGAAAAACTCGACGAATAAGAAACTTCATTCGATAGTAGGTAATAATACAAATAATCTATAGCAAGTAATTTGAGTAGTTAGCAAAAGCTTTATGCTTGAGACATAGTGATGCTACGTTTGAAGAATTATTCTCAGATTGAGATGGCAATATAATGTTCGTTATTTTTATCGACTACTGTAAAACCATCGCTTCACACGTAAAAATAAAGTTTCGTATCGGACCTAGTTGCTTGCACTAGTCTCACTATTGGCGGCCACTACAACTTTCAAATGCTAACCGCCACAAACTACCGTGCTACTGGCCTCGGGTAAAATGTTACTGGATCCTTCCGTGGCCAGTATAACACCTATATATGCACGAAGCCACTAGCATAGTAAATACATGCGGTTGGTTCCTCAATGTTCACTTGTCGCCAATACTGTCCCCGTGTACAGCTTAAATGCAACTGTAGCGAGTCTGCTGAGAAGCTCTTCCATTACAACAATTTTGTTAGGGTTGCAGAAATGGTTCGTTTGTTGACTGAAACATGCGCTTGATCTTGGGATGAGCTTTTAAAAAGAGAGTTTCTATTTTATATCTTAGAGCTAACTGGTCTTTTATTTATTAAGCCAATAAATCATTTATTGCACAAGTATGATATTTCAAAATAAGAGGCCGTATGCAACCATTATATCATTAATATATCATTTGTCGAAGTTATTTCATCTTATTAAACGGTTTTATTGGATTTTTTTAGTTGTATTATTCTTTCTATTAGATATTTATGAAAAAAACGTGCCATTGAAAACTACTAATAAAATGTCGTAAATGATGTATGCTACTTATAAGATAAATGGTGCTTCATATCAGCGTGCTTTATTGAGAGTTCAGCGTATTTATTCATTTGTGAATTGGTAGTTTTCGGTCACACTTGAGTTCCAATAATAAACTGTCTTACCTGCGTGTGTGTTTTCTTCAGTTCCATTAAAATTTTCGCTCAATATATAACAATATTCCTTTCTCATCGCATTACTGAGAAATATTTTCCAGATTACTTCCAGCTCTTTGTCAAAATGATTATAGAAATGTTTAGGGAATATTTTAAATTATACAATTTAGTGAATATTTTCGATGTCAATTAAGTATAGCGCCGCGTTGGGGGGTGGGTGGTCCATGCACCCAGCTGGGGGTAAGTTCTTTCCATCGCCCCTAGGGGGCGATATCGCCCACTGTGGGAACCGCTGGGCTAGACCGTTAAAAGTGCTCTGAACCTCAACTCTTTATATTCATTGCTCGATGCAGGCACGGCGTTGCGAAACCATTGCGGATTTAAAATCGATTCGTCAACTTAGAAGACTGAGTAGAAATGGTGTAGAAATTTTGAAGGATATATCTGTTCTATTGAATCAGCACTAGAACTGCACTAATTAGCTACGGAAAAACTTACGACCTGTCTTCTTTCATAAAAATGTAGGCGAAAAATTTTGTTCTTAAACATAGAAATTGACCTCATAAGTGGTCGCAAATGTGTCGAAGTGAGAGAGGTGCCATGAAATCATTAGGCTTGTAGTACGTCCCGGAAACAATTCTACAGCCGGACTCGCGGCCGGTCTCCAAATTCAGTGAGCAAGTAATATATCCCAAAGTATTGAACGTATTTTTAAAGAAAGCTCTTGCTCACTGCGAATTTTGCTGTTTAAATCACGAATGAGGGAAAAGGGAAAAAACTGGGAAACGAAGGCAAATAAAAAAAACATTACCAGCTTAATATCACCGTTGGATAATTAGGAGTGTATATGCAAATTTTCGTTCAAATCTGTTCAGTACTTTGGAAGAAATGTCATGTTAACTGCAAATTTCAGCACGTATCGTCATATAACTCACGAATGAAGGCGAAATTTAAGCAAATTTCACTAGCTAAGCATCACCGTTAGGTAAATACGTGTACCATGCTTCATCGATCTATGTTCATTACTTGGGGAGATATTCATGCTCACTGAATTTGGAGGACGGCCGCGAGACCCGCAGCAGGTCCGGCCGTAAAATTGTCCGAGACGTGTAGTTTATTGACGTTTAGCAGTCAAGGAACTTGTAATATTAAACAAAGTAACTCTATGTTTCAGTCTTCAAAGTAAAATGAGTCTTCCGATAGTTTTTAGTGTAATATATGTTATATAATTTTTAGTGATATTCGAACATATCTTTCTATTCGTCGATTCAAAATTTGCCTCTTATATTGAAAAGGTGATATATTGAATTTTTTAATCTTCCAAAATGAAGAATATTAGATCAACAATTAGCTACATAATTGCATTTGTTTATTTTGTGGAGTACCTGAATATTTCCGTTTAATTCTTCACTCTGCCTCTCTACTACAAGTACTTGAGTCAAGAACCATATTCTCAGTTGTATTCGTTATGTGTCTTCTTCGGTAGTACGAGCGTGCGGCGTTCACCATGGATATTCAGGTAAATTCAATTGGACAAGAAAGTTTTTATACATTTCATGATTTAACATCTTCAAATTACCACTACTGGTTTTACTTTCATATTTGCTTCAAAACGATCTGGTTTTACTTCCCATTAGTTTCCCGCATTATATTATATGAGTGGTTCCATAGAGCTAAAAATTTTTTAACTGGTGTTCTCTGCGTACCTAAATATCATTCATTTTGCTCGCATTGCGACGATCGTGTTATTGCTTCATCAACAGCATGTCAGCAGTTGGGTGCTAAAAACATGCAAAAGATATATATACCGTATTTTCTGTACTCTGTAGAAATGGTTATTAAAATAAGTTTGAAAAAGCCTGCCCGCCCTGGATATTGAATTATATTTATACCTACCTAATTGAAAATTAAAGTAACTGTATATTATGGTTTAGCAGCGCCACATGCACAGTGCCCACAATTCAGGCAATTAAAGTGAATTGGTTTCTTCTAGTTTATCACAAGTCTAACAGACTCTAACTTGAAGTTGAAACCCTAGCAACCTGGGTAAAATTAGAGTGCAAATGATTAATGGTTCATACATTGAAGATGAATTCAGCTGGATCACTTGTTTGACCTTGAATTAGGTAAATGCTTAATTGACACATGAAGCCGCATAGTGGCAAAGCAAAGAGATTTTTTTAAAAAACTAGGTACCTCAAGTTCAATTTTGAGTCCTAGCCTATAGGCTAATGGCTATAGCTAGTACTAAATCAACACAGTAGTCACTAGTCAGTACCAGCAGGTATAGACATGGAATCATGAAGTAGGTACCAGTATTATCATAGGCCTAAATAAATTATTGGTTTGAAACAATAAGTAAATTAAATTTGAACAGATTCTGAAGATTTCTAAAAGGTTTTACCACTATGCTTCAAGATTTTTGCTAGATGAATTTATTAGCCATAGTACCTACCTTAACCTACCTACCTAGCTGTGGAGAACATTTTTGTTGCCCTTCTTCAAGTTCATTCTTGACTCCTATAAGTAGACTTATTTCTTGGATACCACATAGGTACAAGCATTATCTTACATGAGTAGGGTAAATACGGTATATTACGACACTTTGAGGATGTAGCAAAAAATGAATGGCTATAAAAAATACACCATACGTGCAACTCGAGTTCTGTTTGCTTTACGTCACTCTCAAAACACCGCACTACGTGCCAGCAACAAAGAAATGTCACAAAATGTTGCCATATTTATTTAAATGCCTTTAGAATGCAAACCTACCAAATCCATATATTCCAACACTGTGTGTGACTAAATTTGGCATTTTGTGAGACTTATTCTGGCTCACTGGCCGTGCTTCAAACTCTACTAATTCTTAATGCCGACACTATTGTGTTTGAATTCTGAACACTGTGTGAGCTGTATTAGAATACAACACAGCTTTGAATTAGAACACTATTGCATATTGAACACTTCTTTATTAGGCTTTTAATTAAGAAAATTTTAATTTTTGCACACAGCTTGGAATGAGCAAATACATTTATATTTAAAGGATTCCTAATATATTCACAGACTTATTTAAAAGTCAAACCATAATATTCTTTCTACACAAACAGTTAATCACTATTTGGTAGAGCAAGGTCTACTATCAACTTTGACACCTTTTTCTATGTGCTCACTGGGTGACATGCACCGTCTCTCTTTGGATCTCAACATTTTCCTGCCAGACGGCCCAGACCTAGTGTTTTGGCAATAGTAAGGCACGCAAAAGTATGACGTCACCATTTCAATCAACAAATGCATGGAACTAAGAAATAAAGAAAAAGCTTAAGGGGAGCGTCTAGGGTAAAATTTTGGATTTCGGCTTTTCTGGTTTTTAGTCTCATCTTAAAGCTGACATTCTGATCTATCCAACGGTACCAAAACCATCTCTAGGCGTCGTATGAGGAGGTGTGCATGCAGTCGCTCCCACCATCCTTGACTGGAATCAAGCTCCAGTAACGTTTAGTTTTGTATCCTTGGTACATTGAGTGCCTATTCCGATGCGCGCAGTACTTTGACAGGCTCTACTGAAAAGTTAACTTATTGTCACTGCAAACCTATCTCCTCCTAGAGTTTTTAAGCTACAACAATGAGACATATACCATTCGATGCGCAACAAAATTATCTAGAACGTAACACGGGCGTTTTTCTAATTTCATTATAGTTTGGATTTTATTCCGCAAAAGGGGGGGTGGCGGGGGGGAAAATCAAATTTTCGAAAAATTTACGAAAAATGCTCCCACACCCACAAAACTGAGAAATCCTAAAAACCCTCGTGTTGCGGTTTAGATATGGTCTTTACGCATCGAATGATATGTGTCTCAATGTTGTAGCTTGAAAATCCTAGGAGGAGATAGATTTCTATGGTACCCCCTTTTTTGGCCGTTTTCTAAGAATTTCACGTTTTCTTTCATTTTTTTCGAAAAATTCACACGAACAAAAATGTCTTAGAATTCTATTTTACATATGTGTACCAAGTTTCAGTGATCCGTTTGTAAATAGCCGAGATAAATTTTACCCTAGACGCTCCCCTTAATATAAAGGAAAAAAGTTGAGAAGTGTCAGAATTACCCACGATGTCAGAATATACCGTGCTAACCCTAATTGATTAAAATATTCAGTAGATTAGGAATTTCAAATAAACTGATTCTAGAACATTAGTGGTTCATATATATTATTGTATATATTGTAATTGAGTCATTATCTATATATCTAAATAGCTTAGGGTAAACGCACCATATTCCGACATCGTGGGTAATTTTGATACTTCTCAACTTTTTCCTTTGTTTTTAGCTTTGTCTTAGTTCCACGCATGCATAGATGGTTGAAATAGTGACGTCATACTATTGCACGCCAGATTCCTGCAAAACAAAAGGTCGGGTGGGAAAATGTTGAGATCCTTAACGCAAAAGTCCACATCACCCAGTGAGAACATTGAAAAACGTGTCAAAGTTGATAGTTGACCTTGCTCTACCAAATAGTGATAAACTGTTTGTGTAGAAAGAATATTATGGTTTGAGACTTTTAAATAAGTTGGTGAATATTTTAGGAATCCTTTAAGTATACTTGTATTTGCTGATTTTAAGTGGTAAATAAATTAATAGATGATTAAGTTAAGAGATGGTTTTAGACACATAAAAACTAATTCCAATACAGCTTGGAATTAGACACACACTGCTTGTTCTGTGCTGTGTTGTATTCCAATACAGCTCACACAGGGCGTCGGAATTCCAACACAGGGTGTCGGAATTACGTATTATGGTTTTGAAGCGATGTCGGAATTATTTTTCCAATATACCGAATTTAGTCACACACAGTGTTGGCGATTTTGTAGATTTTAAATTAAATTTAAAATCTAGATTTAAATTTGTAGATTTAAATTAAAATTCAGCGATTTTGTAGATTTTAATTCTAAAGGCTTTTAAATAAATATGGCAACAGTTTGTGACGATTCATCATTGCTGGCACATAGTGTGGTGTTTTGAGTGACGTAAAGCAATCAGAACTTGAGTTGCGCATATGGTGATCTTTTATAACCATTCATTTCTTGTTATGTCCTTAAAGTGTTGCAATATGGTGCATTTACATTATTAATTAATATATTATAATGAAGTCATAATGTAAACAGCTTATTATGTTGTAATCAAGTTATCTAAACTTCCTATTAACTATAATATAGGTAATGAAGTTGCTATGCAAACAGCTTATTAATTATTGTGGGATACAATTTCATTGTAGTTTTGGATTTTTTAGAGTTGAAATTGTTTGATATTTCTGTAGTCCAATATTTATTTGTAAGCTCAACATTTTTTGGGTGCTGCACGTTTTTGTTGCTAGTTTACCATCTGACATCCGTTGCTCTTATATTGAGTCAAAATCAATTTTCAAGATGGCAAAAATTTAATGTTGCAAGCGACAATAATAAATACGATTGTCAACTTTTGGGAAGCTTGAAGATTTGAGTGAAGTAAAGAAAATAATTATTGTACATTAGTTTTGTATCCTTGACAACTAATTATTATATCAAGATCTTTAAGAGTCAGATCAAGTACTAGAGTTCAACTTAACACCGGAATGGCAAACTGAGGTCTGGTTGATCCTGCATAGCAATTCATGATTCAACAATTATAATACTATTTTAATCAATTCATCTAAATTGCTTATTAATTGTAATATTGTCTTCAAGTCTTTATCTCAACCACTTAATAATAATAATATTCTAAATCAAACTTGACAGATTGTAGCTAAAGTGGCAAACAAGACTTCTTTGCACCAATGTGCTTTTAATATTTTTTCTTTGAGAAAATTCAACCTGCAATTTAGATTACTTTTTTAGCTAAAGCTGAAAAAATTGATGCAAACATAAAGTTGTCACAATCAAACTTTGAAATATATTCTTTGAGCAGTGATGTGACCAAAGTGGCAAAAAAAATCTCAGAATACGGTATTGGCGAAATTGCTTAACTTGCAAAATAGGCTTTGACATGGAGATGTCTGGCAGTTGCTTGTTTGCTTTTATGTCATTGATATTTCTAAATGACTGGAATGCAATATAGAGGATCTTGTACAGTCATGAATCTATACAACCTTTTTTTTTTTGCTATAATGGTCAACTCTACATTGTAGCTTTAACTAAACAGGTAAACTTGTACAGATCTGAAGCTAGTCCAGTTATATACTTAGTGGATTTAGTAAATTGTTATTCATGTACTATTTCTTAGAATCATTTTCAGTAGATTTGAGATGCTAATCAAAATGTTTCTTGCAGACAGAGAAATCGTTCCAGAAGCAGCCCACAGTATTTCTTAATGCTAAGCCCAGGTGGATCAAGGGCCAGCTTAAGAAGAAGGCACCCAAACGCTATGTGCGCAATGTCGGACTTGGCTTCAAAACTCCTCGTGAGGTGAGGACAAACTAATTATTCTCAATTTGCTCTTATTTGTGTTAGGGAAATGTCATGTTTTAATATGGTGGACTTCATTTTTTCTTGTTGATGATTGTACTAAGAGAAAAAAAATGTGCGGATAGTATGTTGGGATTATTATTATTATACCTTGAATCTTGCAAACATTCCTGGAAGGTTTATTGCGTTGTCCAGCATTATACACTTTAGATTGTGCCTTATGAGATGGCTTAGAGCTGTCTATTTCAAAAGGTAAATAAATACAACATAGCAAATATTAAGGTTTTTCATTTTTTTCATCATTACAGGCGATGGAAGGCTCGTATATTGATAAAAAATGCCCCTTCACTGGAAATGTGAGCATCAGAGGACGCATCTTAACCGGCGTCATCATAAAGATGAAGATGACACGCACGGTCGTCATCAGGCGCGACTACCTCCACTTCGTTAAGAAATACAACAGGTGAGGCGTGGTCTATGTAGAGCGGTATTTTGCTGGCATTGAAGTGGCATTTATTCCCATGAATTATGGCGGTAACTATATAGGTATCTGTAGTTGTCAGGCCTTCACTTTGTTGAGAAATAGAACAGGTGAGGCGTTCTGTATATAGAGCGGCACTTTGCTGGCATTGAGGTGGCATTTATTCCAATGAATTATGGCGGTAACTATATAGGTACCTGTAGTTGTCAGGCCTTCACTTTGTTGAGAAATAGAACAGGTCTGTCGTGCTGTACCTGTCACTACCTGAAAAGCAATATTTTGCTTCACTTGGAGTGGTATTAACCGATGCAACTACTCACTGTAAGTATTATTATCAGGCCTTAAAATATGAATTGCATTCAAGATGCGTAATATCAACATTTTAGGGTGTTGATAGTGCAGCCCCTCGTTTATCTTGCTTCCTATTCTAATAAATTATTTGCAGATTGTTGTATTGTGGTCATCCTGGCATTCTAGGATGTTGAGTGGATTCTTACTGATACAAATAATTTATTTATTTTCCCATCATCTTGCCTTTCAATGGTGAACAGCTACAGACTTTCCTGAAAAATAATGGTCGTATGGTTGAGGACTTGATCAGTATTGTGTGTAGTTGTGTAGATGATCTGAACTCATTTAGTCTCTTCTTGCAACGCGATTTATCATAAATTCCTTGTATAATATTGAGCGTCCAATCCATCTGTTCATCATACTTGCTCCTGTAATCATAACTTGAAGGTCCTCACATTTAATGCAGTAGGGACTAATTGCAGTCGGCGCTGTTAAAATTCAGTGCTGAGAATTGTGTAGTCATGCAGGCTGGCAACAGAAGTGGTTGGTGTGCAGGATGAGGTTTACTTGGTTCTGATAGTTGTTCACAGTACAGCTCTTAGCATGAGTCCTCTAATGTTTATTGTATTTCAGGTTCGAGAAGAGGCATCGCAACATGTCCGTTCATCTCTCCCCTGCCTTCCGGTGAGTTCATGTCCATGTTGTTCTCAACTCTGTAACACTCGGTGTGATTGTTGCTATGCATTAGTTAACATTTTGATTAGATGTTACTTTTTCTTTTATATGCATAGTATTTCATTGTTTTAGCTTCGGCTGACATCTTTTCCTAGTTTTGACGTGCTATTTTTACGCTGATCTTGTTTCTGGGATCGATTGGCTCAAAATGGTCTTGACATGATCCTTGTTAAGGAAACCAGCCCGGCTGTTGCTGTGTCTGGTAGTAATTAAAGCAAGGAGATCAAATGCAAGATTTCAGGATGAGGAGGCAGTCAAGGCTGTTATCCCCAATCAATCTTGTCACAGATGCAGATTTTCCTTGCAACCACTTACTTTTAATTTGACTTTTGTACCTTGAATGTTATACATCAGAGAGCATTTTTAATTTTTTTTTATTCTGCCAATGGTTCTGGTTGTACTCTCTAACCAATTCACGTTTTTACGCAAACTGTTATTTACTGCGTCTTGAACGGTGAACTAATAATTTTATTTTATATGGAGTAGAGGTTCGTAAATTCGTCCATGATGTCAAAATGTTGCAAGAAGCTAATCATCGTGTATCAAATAAATACTTGCAAGATATCTTTAGACTTGATAATCGTTTAAAAAATATTCATAATTTCTCGTGTTGCAAATCCTGATGGAATTTTTTTGTTGTCGTTTGTTTCTGGTGTAGCTATTCGAGGCCGACGATGGGATTTTGCAACTCTAGTATCGAAAATATCCTAAGTATAGAGAAATATCCTTCTTCAGGGCGTTTATGAAAATAAATTGCTTTCAACTCTTCCGATGGTGTCATTAATGTTAATGCATTAATTCTAATTATCCTACGATGGAAGCCCGCGGGCATGCGGTCCTTCATGGTCTTTAATAAAATCACAAGGAGAACAATATGAAGTAACGTAATGAGAATACCGCCTTGGCGTTTATTTTCAAAATATTTTGTGATAAGTGATCTGAAGCAGTAGTAGCCAGTTAATCGAAGTTTTTGTCCAAAATAATTGCAATAAAAATTGCAATGTCCAAAATTGCAATAATCCAACTACTTGATAGATATAGACCAAAATGAATATCATACTTTGTCTTCACTAACTTGAGACCTCTAATGAAACCCTTCAAGCTGAAGTCAGCTGAGGCCTCTGTTAGGATAACAAAATATAAGGTGTTGATGAAGTTTGTGTGTTGTTCTGTCGGAAGATTAGTTTAGCTCTTGAGCGATCTCTGCCACCAGTGCTGCAGACTCAGAGCTGCCGAACATGTAGTCAGAGACAAAGTAAAGTGACTGATCTTGCACGGAGCTTCTTATCTTTCTTGTTTGCTCTGGGAAACGACGGTCACACATTTACTTCGTCAATCCTTAGATGCAACTTGATATTTTGTTATAAATGTGAAATTCTCTACAGCCCTGAAGTCACTTGAACTTCTCGACAGTCCCTCGTAGGTTCACCGTCGTTCTATTTAACCGCCGTTTAACTATTGAGCTAGTCTGGTAATCTGGTTTCTTCTGTCAACGCTGTTCACGATTTCAGTTTATTATGCTTTTTCCTGGAAATATAAGTTTCTTGGAAATGAAAGGACCCGCTCTTTCCATTCGTCATTACTATTCTTTAATGCTTGATGGATAATCTTTTAAGCTATTTCTTTTTTCCTACCGATAAAGCTTGAAAGTAATCATCCTATGCTTGCCAGAATTACTTTCTATCATCTTGCTATTCTTCCCTCTCGTGTTCCATGCAAGACGTATGCTTGTGAGGGTCTAGACGAGGGTAAAGCAAGTCGTGGCGTGCAGCGTATCTGTTGTTTTCTATCACCAGTTCTCGACTGTCTGCTCAGCCCCACACATAGATTGAGCGAACACTCGCTACTTTGCACCGAAACATTTCTTTGTATCGAGACTAGACTTCATATTGTCACGTAGGAGTGGAATGAATTTTTTATTGTCGTCAGCTTTTTAGCGCATTTATGAAAAAGGCGCTATTGTGCTCGTCATGTCCGTCCGTGAGTTGTCCGTGCGTGCCTTCACGTTTTCGTCGACGAGAAAATGCGCTCTCTGTCACTCACTGCAGTGAGTACTGAGTTATATTTGTTGTGTCTATATTCCGTTTATCATGCTACTGCTCGGTGAATACGCGTAATTTTCGTAAGCCTACAATAAATTCTTTTCTTTATATGCTTGTGTGGTGATGCGTTAATTGTTGATCAATTCTATGCTCTCTGTAAGATTTTATTTTTTCTTGGAGTGTTGATGATTTCCAAAGTTATGGCGGCTTGCGATAACTTCGTTCGTAAGCGTCTTGACATGATCCTTGTTAAGGAAACCAGCTCGGCTGTTGCTGTGTCTGGTAGTAATTAAAAGCAAGGAGATCAAATGCAAGATTTCAGGATGAGGAGGCAGTCAAGGCTGTTATCCCCAATCAATCTTGTCACAGATTTTTCTCTGGCAAATGATAGTTTTGTTTTAAAATTTATTAGTTTTGGTTGAATTATGTTCTTTTTGATGTGCCTGTGGTTAGCGTTCTTCACACAATGCCGATTCGAAATCCGTCTGGGGAAAGTCAAAATATATTCTCAGGGTATAGGAAGCTTATGACTGTTCCATGAAATGAGTATTGCGCTATTAGCAATGAAATTCATATTTTTAAATTTAATGATCTACACTATGGAAAGGTTGTTGTGGGTCACTGGATACGTTGTGACAAAAAAAAGTTTTTCGTGCGCTTATTGAGGCTCAGATGCGTCGACGACCAGTTGATAGTCGCCCGTTGCTGTGCTTGAATAACTTATTATTTTTATTGTCAAGCCTCCCATGGCGATGTTTGTTAATCATTGTTATGAGTAGGTATATTAATTCGATGTAAAAATCCTTGTTAAGTTTGAAACCAGCGGTCAGGTGTTCACTTCTGGTCTTGAAGCCACAAGGAGAATAATTCAAAATATCAGGACTAGGATGCCGCATTGCGGTCATTCTTGATTTATTTTGTTACACTTTTTAATAAAAAAGGGTAGGGACTGCCGGCGAATCTGTCATTGTTCAGATCACAGACGAATTCCTGCCCGTAGTGATCTAATGAAATCAACGTATTAACGAGAAGTTGCTTGCTTATATTTGAAGGGTGCCATGAGAAAATTTGCTATGCCAGGGTTGTAGTTTTCAAAGCTTTGAGCAATAATGATGAACTATCTATTCTGTGTATGGCAATAACAAGCAATGGTCAGCATATTGCTCATGTTTTTGGTATTTCGTAAGAGAAAGATTAGATCTCTGCCACCAGTGCTGCAGACTCAGAGCTGCCGAACATGTAGTCAGAGACAGAGTAAAATGACTGATCTTGCACGGAGCATATTATCTTTATCTGCTCTGGGAAACGACAGTCAAATATTTACCTCGTTGTCAGTCTTATTTCGGTTACCAGTGCTTCATATTGGATTATTTAGGTCTTGAGTTATTGAAGTAATTAGTGAACATACAAAGAATAAACTACAAAATTTTATTTTCAACACAATTTATAGTTGGGCAAAAGTCGAGATTTTACAAAGTAGCCGAATGCTTTTCTTTATTGGTGTTGTGCTAAGGATTTTCACGAACGTTGTTTCGTTGCAATGTATTTGGTTCTATTGCTAACCTCATTTCCTTGTTCAGCTGTCGGGTTTTATCCACGATGTTGGCACTGGCTTGTTTCCTCTCGTGTTCCTTGCAAGCTTTGTGCTTGGGAGGGTCAAGCAGAGGGCAAAGCAACTGAACATCAAATCTGAAACTCGAAGCGCAAGCTTAGGGTTATGATTGGTGTTCTAACATTACCTAGCCTCACTTGACCATCGCATCGACATCATTTGCTTGCGTCACTACAGTTATGGTCCAGAATTTTGCCCGCCCAGCGATCCAACATGCAGGGCAAAAAACGCACCCATTTCAATGGTTTAAATTATTGTAATTGTAATTGACACCTTGTATCATGGATACCAGAGCGCTCGAGTGCCCGAGGTCTTGATTGTGCAAGGAGATCGAAGGCAAGGAGTTCGGGTGAGGACGCGGCTTAGGCCACCTCCCACAATCTCCTGCCACACGTGTCTATTATTTTGACAATTATTTTTGTGAAGTAGTTAGGGCAACTGATAGCCACTGTTGGCTCAAATGCTTATAAAGTTTGTTATAGTTATAGTATTTTAGCACGTGATCTGCTGTTATGTACGGCTTCTGATAGTTCTTTAAATGTGTGTAATTCTGATCGAAGTAACATGCTTAGATCTGCGAGATTATTTCAAAGGATCATTTGCATTTCAGAGACGTAGTGGTCGGAGACATCGTGACGGTGGGAGAGTGCCGGCCGCTGTCCAAAACAGTGCGCTTCAACGTCCTGAAAGTGAGCAAGGCTCCTGGTGCCAAGAAGCAGTTCAACAAGTTCTAAATAAACTGCTGTCAGGAGTCCGCCTAATTACTTACCTCTGCTATTGCGAGACGTAACAAGGATTTATATAGCACGATATTTTACTCAAGTTTATTTGTAGCGAATACATGGAATGTCAGACATTCAGATATGTTATTCTTATGCTGGATGCCGAACCGTCATGTAAGACTTGACCAACCTGATATTAGGGAGAGCAACCTGATACTAGGGAGGCAATCTGGGAACGAGACGCGAATGAAATATTTTTTGTACTGTTGCCCTGACATGGATTGAAGTCTGCCTGCGGAATCATAATTTTAAACGTGTCATAACGTTTAATTCAAGAGAATAGCGAAAATGAGGCATGTCCATTCATACAGCTTCACGATGAACGACAAGGAGATGATTGCAAGCAAATATGTGAATTTGAATCTGAAGAACGCTAGTGTCCGTTGCGTTCCAGGCGTCGCAAGTTGCTGTGGCTATCATATCGAGGTACCTACGCTTGCATGATGCGTGACACTCAAGGTACCTCCTACCTACTGATGCGAACGAACTAAAATGAAGTAGCTATTCGTCGGTAGCAAAAACTCTTAATGAAAAAAATACTCTAACGTATATTGTGAACAATCCGAAATCAACACACCAATGTTTTCGCGGTGAAAACTTAGAACCCGAAAAGCAGCGTACTGGCCCACAATCGCATCAGATAATGCAAAATAAATGTCAGCGTAACGTACGAGAAAATTCCCAGACCATATCCCGCACACACGCACAAGCATTAACTCCCAAATCTTCGTACAGAACCTCGACCCAGCGACACGTAACATAGCACAATAGTCTCCAGCTTTCCGAGCTCGTGTGTCCACGAGCCTAGTCAACGTGTAGTTTATCGCCAAATGGATTTTCTACAATAATACAACCAGTATTATCAAATTCTTGTTGATCCATCACAAACTCTGTAATCTATCATTTTTGCTCGACTATCGCGCTTCAAACACATGAAGGAACAAGCTATTGTTTTCATGTCACTGTGATACGTTGGCACGAGAAGCAGGATGGGAGAAATTAACTTTTGAAAATATCTCCGTTTGATCGAATAAACGTAATCAAGCTTTAAAAATTAACAAAAAATTGGCAATTCCACAAAAACGGCACGTTTTATTAAGAAATATGAAGCCAGACATAAATTGTGTATTTCGAAAGCAACGAAGAAACCTGCACTGGATATTAAGACTTGACATTAATTCGACATCGCACAGAGTATTCAAATAAGCAATACAAAATTATGCTCACTCTCAAGTCACAAATCTTGTTTCCGCTTCTATAAACAAAAACCCCACATAATACACGCGGTAAAATTACCCGAACACCAAGGCATCACAAAAACGCGTGGAATTGTTTGTTAAATAGAAATAATTGTTTGTTTTTAAGTAAATTGATACGCACATTTATATCCAAGTATTGAACTAACTTCCATCCATCCCATGATCAAAATTCCATACGGGCTGATTAGGAGATGATTAATTATTAAAATATGAGACGATCCAGCAAGCGGTAATCCGTGATACAAATAATCTCGCATAATAATTCCTATTTAAATGAAATACAATCAATCAAGACAATCATACAGGCGCCATTCACTCGCCACAACCGAGCAGATACTCGCCACAACCGAGCAGACACGCGCCACAACCGAGCAGACACTCGCCACAACCGAACAGATACGCGCCACAACCGAGCAGACACGCGCCACAACCGAGCAGACACTCGCCACAACCGAGCAGACACTCGCCACAACCGAGCAGACACTCGCCACAACCGAGCAGACAAATGAAGTAACAAAGAAGACTTACACAAGAAACAATATTCGACTAAAATACCTACAATCACATATAGACTAGTAACAGGTTACATTAGCAGCAAGGATACTTAACGTGGGCAATATGAACAGAGCTTAACACTGACTCTTACTTTACTACCCGGGAAGAAATCGGAGTTCATCTTTAACAAAATTTCAAACTTGTTTAAGAATAACGTTCAGAAGTCTAGCCACAATTGTACTTGAATTACACAATACTGCCTTCTAATTAATACAAATATGAAGATAAAATGTTACAATTAACAATTTCACGATTATTATTAGTGACGAATAACATCAAGTTACAGGTGTAAAGAGCCTCTATACAGATATTTCTCCGAAACATTGATGAAGAATAAAACTACACACAATGAAGTTTTATGGAACCCAACTCGTTTCTGTTCAACCCCGTAACGAAATAACCTTTTCTATGAAGAATCTATATAATTATATCCCAGTGACCAAAATATTTGCTGTGATGAAATTGGAGTTTAATTGAACCAATAGGGAGACTCGAGTCGCCACAAGGAGCAATCATTTTTCCATAAATGCCCAATAATTTGATGATGGAAACGAACGCCAAGCATTCGTTCATACCAAACAATTCAAGAAAAGTAAGTAAATATAATATGTTTCACAACTTTCCAGTGATATACAGATATTAATAACACTACAAATAATGATTCAATGAAATAGAGGTAGAAATAACAAAATTTGCAATTGATTTATTGGTGCATGAATCAATGCAAATGCCTGATGCCCAGTCCTTGAAGCAGTTATGAGTGTATACAAACAAGCCTCTAGCGAAGAATAAGTCAATTAATACAAATGAGTTATATTAGTTCAGAACATACACTGTGTGGCTGTTGCATTCTCAGTATAAGCCCAATATGGGCAATTGGACTCTATAATAATAATCTATCTACAACTTTAGTCTTTAAAATTGGGGGATACTTTAAATTCATCATTCGATACAGAAATCGTTCAGTTATCGTCTATTTCTCAGCGCCCAATATGAGGGTGAATAAAACTGAGGAAGGAAAAGACGAAAATTGGGACATTATCTGGTAAAAGTTAACAAATAATTTCTAAACATTTTCGTTGAAGCGACAGGGGAAGCTGGGCAATAATCACCCAAGCCGGGCAAGAATCACCCCTACCCCATACGCACAATAAAACTTGCCAAACAGGTGGTGAGGAAACAAAAAAAGAGTTGAGGAGGACTTATCAGAACCCATTTAAAATAGACTCCAGATCACATCGAGGTACTTACAGCACAGGACACAAACTAGTGAATTAATCTCACTGCCAAACAAATTGGCAACACCACACGACGGGTGTGATGAAGTCGGGGAAAGCACATTGCTTATCATAGTGGCTTAGAAGTAGATTTACAATTTCTCCGAGAATATTTAGATTCAAGCGTCATCGTGTTCTAGATACGAATGAAACGGTTGGTGAGCTAACTGTTCCTGATTATGTACCGTATTTATTAATGAACGATTGGAAAATTTTAAAATTTTTGGAGCTTCTTAACATTTATAACAAGTAGAAAGTTCATTTTTAAAACCCTGAAAAATGAGGATTCGTTTTCCCATACCAGAAAATGCAATTATTATTCTATTTCAACAGATGCAATTTAGTTCTCCCTCCAGAATTTAAAATTCATACCTCTGTTTAAACTATATATTAGACGCTAGTGATAATATTTTGAAATTAAAACTAAGTTCGAGAGTGTAGGTACATTCAACCTCAAAGATAAAATTTCAGATGTCAAATTAGATCGAATCAGCTCAAAACATTCGCCATGATGCAACCAAATATGTGAGAGTATTGCACGATTGAAGTCATTAAGACGTATATACAAGCGTCGACAACAAACAAACATAAACTTACGACTTTCAATAAGGTCTGAAAATATGGTAGAGAGCCTGAGAAACCTAAAAACTACCTTCAAAAACGATGGCCGCCAAAACACTTCACAAAGAAATAAAAAATGAAAGGAAATGACAAAACTAAGAAGTCTGTAAGAAGCAGAAATTCGTCACTGTGAGAATAAATATAATGGACAGACATGAGAACGAATTGAATAAAACGTTACTTCAAAAGAAAATTATTGGTTGAAATTCCTAAGAACACTTTCAAGCTGAAAAAAAAATTAAATTGAAGATATGCTGTAATTTTAGTATCCCAACAATGGAGAAAAAAATACTGTTGTTGATGAATCAAATAACAAAGCCCATAATCGACTTTACAAAAATATGAATTTGCCCAATAAATCTAGGTAGGTACCTAAGCTACGTCCGTATCTCATGAAATATATAAAATTCTTATATGATACGATCTCCAATTGTGTTAAGAAGTCCCCAATTAAGAAAAATCTATATTAGAAACTCATCAACTGCTAAAAATTGACATCAAGGAGCAAGAGCACATTCCATGGAAAACATTCCAATAAGCCTCGGACAAGAGAAATAAATACTGACTATCAGCCACACTTCAAGGTTCAAGCCTGACGACAATCATGCTTCTCTCCGCGCAAGAAGAGAAGAAAGAGTGTCAAGAAGACAAGAAAGAGTGTCAAGAATAGAAGAAGGAGTGTCAAGAAGATAAGAGTGTCAAGAAGACAAGAAAGAGTGTCAAGAATAGAAGAAAGAAGAAAGAATGTCAAGAATAGAAGAAAGAGTGTCAAGAATAGAAGAAAGAGTGTCAAGAAGAGAAGAAAGAGTGTCAATAAGAGAAGAGTGTCAAGAAGACAAGAAAAAGAGTCAAGAAGAGAAGAAAGAGTCTCAATAAGAGAAAAAAAAGTGTCAATAAGAGAAGAAAGAGTGTCAAGAAGACAAGAAAGATTGTCAAGAAGAGAAGAAAGAGTGTCAAGAAGACAAGAAAGATTGTCAAGAAGAGAAGAAAGAGTGTCAAGATGAGGGCGAGGAGCAGTTGGAGAAGAAGGGTAAGAGAAGCATTGTAGATCAGCCCCGGCCAGTGATGGCAGGAGAAGAAGGGCAGGACGAGAGGGAAGCATGCTTCTCAGCCAGCCGCAGCAGCTGCTCTATGGCAATGTTGCGGAGCTCGACTTGCTCTTCCAGCTCGTGCCGGGACTGCAGCAGCGACACCAGGCAGAGAGACGCTCCTGTAAATAAACTTCCTTCTTTAATATTATTAAACAACATGCAAAATTAGGACAAATGATTAAGAGATAATACAATTCAAATAGGATCAAATCTGATACTAAGTACTGTAAATAACACATGTGTCACCAGTCAAAACAGTAATTTAAGAGCCACCCTTCATTCATAACACTACAACAATTGAAAATTTTTGAATAACCCTTTGACTCCAGATACATCAGCTTTCATAAATGCTATTTGTACTTATAGGTTGTTTATGAAAAATTTCTGTCAGTAGGCATGGATTGAAACGACTGTTTATTTTTTTTAAATACAAGATAATTAGTGTAGGTAACTTTGTTAAATTGAATTGATGTTTTTTGGTGAACCTATACATTTTATTGTTTAAATTTGAATTAGGTATATAAAATATTTATAGTACAGGTATGGGTATACTAAATTACTATATTATTCAACTCATAACTATTCCTTTAATATGCAAAATCTAGAAAATACGAATGAGTTAAATATACCTATCTTAAATAGGTATGTTTTCATTTACTACTTGTACTGGTATCACAAATTTGATTTTGTGCACATTTCAATGCTTTCCCAAGGACAGAGTTAAAAACAGAAACATACTCATGAGTACGTATCAAAATAAATCAGACAACCAAAAATGTAGTAATTCCATTTCAGCAAGAAACAAACACACATTTACCATGATGAAATTCATTAAAAATATAACTCAGTACTAACTGCAGTGAGTGACAGAGAGCACATTTCCTCATCAATAAAAACGTGAAGTCACGGACAGACAGACAAACGGACGGACGGACATACCTACGGACATGACAAGCACAATACCTACCTAGTGCATTTTTTCAATAAATGAGAAAATGTGCTAAAATATTTAACAACTAGGTTCAAAATTGAAATGCATTATGAGTGCACTCACCCTGACTAGCCGAGAGGAGGGTTGCCAGAATTTGACGTAGTTCAGCAACACTCAGCTCCTCCACTGCAATGTGATTAAATACTATTAGAGCATTTGGTATCCTAAGGACATATCAGGCAATGTGATGAAATGCAAATACACTAAAATTACTTAGCAACATATTTAAGGGTCAGTCTTACATGCTTAGCTGAAACTTTTACCAATCTAAAATTTTTAATAACTTTAATAAATGACAGTTCATTCTCTCATTCAGAAGGTGAATATGAAGAACACATTATATTTATCCCTCTCCATAGAATTCAAATCAAGTAATCAACAATCTCACATATTAAAAAAATTGTACCATCAAGCCCATGAACTTTACGAGCAAATCAAGTCCAAAAGTGGGCCATTCTTCTTAAAGAGAGATTCATATATAGACTTGACTCAAATTTTATACTTTTTTCACCTGTAAACAATAGAAAAGTATATACATGAAATTTAGTTGTTTTAGTATTCTCAATACCTTAGAATACAATGACTTTAATGAAAACTTACATTCTGAACTTGAGAGATGTTTTATAACCTTCCATGGCTGGCTGACTTTGCAAGAGTTGCTTAGCATGTTCAAGCCTTGGTTATCTTGAACTGATATGCAAGAGTTGCCATCTTGATGAACACATATTGCTGGTGAGAATAAGGCACTCTCTGACAAGGAGTGATTTTTAGTTGTTTGCAATTCATTGTCAGAATGAGCAATACCCATCTGCTTGTCCAAAGCCACTGTAAAGTTATTATTAATTTGACAAGAATTCTTTCCTGTTAAATTTTCATTGAAGGCATGTGAGAAGGTCTCATCCTTTGGAGTAGTAAGTGAATTTGTTGACATGGCTGGTTGAATTGGTTGCAGAAATAAGAAGGTTTATGCTTACAATACCTGGAAAGAACATTTTTAGTAAGTTTATACAGCCAAAAAATAAACAACGCTTGAAACAATAGTGGATTTACAGAAATAAAAGCTTAAGACACACTGCAGCACATTCATATTAGCTCATTTCTTGCTAAACTACCACCAATGCCACTATAACAGCAACCTCACTAAATTCACCATGCTAAAACAAATATTTCTCTAAATGGACCCAATCTGAACATTTCATTGTCATAGGAAAAAAGTAGAAAATTTATTAATATTGCTGAAACATAGTATAATGCATTACAAACAATCAATATGTAAATAGTTTAGATTCCAAATTTACAAGACAAAAAATTTTCAAGAGAACAAGTTTGTTCCCTCTCCTCTTAGCACCATGTTTGTGCCATGCTTTTTTATTGGAAAAATGTTTTCAGTAGAAATCCTGGGTAATTTGGAGGTGAAAAGCAGTTTATAGATGTTCATTTAATCATTTTGCTCATCCTCTTGATTTTCAAGCTAATAGAATATCGTTAATTATCTACTCTAAATATATCTGGCATCTTATGTGCATAAGATTTCGACAGAAATGTTGAATTTGGTTTTTGATATTTGCTACAAATCAGGACTTGAAGATAAATATTTGTTGCTAATTTTTACTTAAAACGGATTAATTGTGTCTAAGTTAGGCCTGAAATACCGTCATGTTCGAAGCATCCATCATTGTTCATTTTCACATAATTAGCAAGTAGACTTTTAGAATGTCATAAAACAACTTCAAAAGTTGTGTACAACATTCATGCAATGATTGAAGTTGTGCAAACAATGCAGCAAGCATATCACTGAAGTTTGAGCTCATTTTGAATAGGCAAGACACAAGTCTTCTTTCTGCTAAATAAGCTTCTACTGAATAAGCTTGACCAACTATAGTCAAACGGGGTAATAAGGGATGGTTTTGAGCATTTTTTTATAACTTCTTACCATGATTCATTTCATCAACAAGTTGGGCTCATTTCAAAGGTCTTTGCAAGGGCTTTCACATGGCATCTATGAAATAATTCCATATGCTATTTGTAAAGTGCCAGATGCAAAATAAATGCATCCCTAATTACCCTTGGGAATGGGGTAAGCCGGCCCACTTGAACTAAAACTTAATACCTAAAACATTTGATGCATGCAGAGCAGGATGGAATTCTAAAATTTACAGTTCATATATTATTTTCGCTACACCTAGACCAGTTTTTCGATACAACATTATTTGAGGCAAAAAAATAAACTTCTTATATGCTTAAACACGTATATATAGGTAAAGGTATAAAAAGTTTCTATAAAGTAATCACTTCACTTGGAAATGTTGCGTGTCTGCAGGGCAGCTTGCACTCAACAATTAAAATTATAAAAAGTACTAGTTCATTAAAGATTTGTCTCTTAATGTGACAGCAAAGAACTTTTCCATGATGCACACACTAAACACGCAATTCATGGGAGCGAGACTACATAGAACAATGAAAGCAGGCTCCCGGCATGCAACTGACAGAAACGAATGACGATTGCGGATGCGGCAGCACGAGGCATAACGTTCATATGCTCAATGCAAGAGAATGATTAATTATGATATTTTTGATAGAGGTTTGAAATATTTTCGGAAGCCTAAAACGTGTACAAATTATTTTGTTACTCTGACATGGTTGATTTCAAAATAAATATTTTAATGCGAATTCATGAGAAGCAATTAAAATATATTGAATGATGTTTATTTATATCTATAGGTGGAAGTAAACAATTACGAATCAGTTTATTATCCTTTAAATAAGAATCTTTGCATTGAAACATCTTTATGATGTGTCTACCACAATATTTGTACAATAGTATGGGTATCAAGAGTCAAAGCCGTATTCTTCCCTCTCGTGTTCCATGCAAGACGTATGCTTGTGAGGGTCTAGACGAGGGTAAAGCAAGTCGTGGTGTGCAGCATCTCTGTTGTTTACTACCACCAGTTCTCGACTGTCTGCTAACCCCCCACATATTTTATTTACATAGACTGAGCGAACACTCGCTACTTTGCATCGAAACATGTCATAGTAACAAGGGCCGATGCCACTAGAGAATTGAGCTCACATATTGTCACGTAGGAATGAAATGAATTTTTATTGCTGTCGGCTTTGTTGTGTCTATATTCGGTTTGTCGTGCTATTGCTTGTTGAATACCTACGCGTGATTTTCGTAAGCCTACAATAAATTATGTTCTATAGATGCTCGTGTGGAGATGGTTATTGTTGAGTAATTCAATGTTTTCTGTAAGAAAACTAAGATAATATTTTAATATTTTCTTGGAGTGTTGATTTACCAAGTAAAGCGGCTTGCGATTGCTGCGTTCGTAAGCGTCTTGATATGATCCTTGTTAAGGAAACCAGCTCGGCTGTCGCAGTGTCTGGTAGTAATTAAAAGCAAGGAGATCAAATGCAAGATTTCAGGATGAGGAGGCAGTCNGTGTGATGGTGACTAGCATGTGGTGAAGCACCACACGTGTGATGGTGACTAGCATGTGGTGAAGCACCACACGTGTGATGGTGACTAGCATGTGGTGAAGCACCACACGTGTGATGGTGACTAGCATGTGGTGAAGCACCACACGTGTGATGGTGACTAGCATGTGGTGAAGCACCATACGTGTGATGGTGACTAGCATGTGGTGAAGCACCACACGTGTGATGGTGACTAGCATGTGGTGAAGCACCACACGTGTGATGGTGACTAGCATGTGGTGAAGCACCACACATGTGATGGTGACAATTTTGTGATGAAGCCCCGGCACCACACGCCTGATGGTGACAAGCTTGTGGTGCAGTACCAGCACCACCACATTGTTTGTAAATAATTACCCTAAATATGTAGTAATTGGCTATTTGCAAACTTCCAACTCAACAACGGCTAGACCGCTAAAGTGCTCTGAACCTCAACTCTTTATATTCATTGCTCGATGCAGGCACGGCGTTGCGAAACCATGGGGATTTAAAATCAATTCGTCAATTTAGAAGACTGAGTAGAAATCGTGTAGGAGAAGACGACGGTAGGCTATTGATCATAATATTGACGACTTGATACTAATTGCAGGTAAAAGGCAAAACTATATTCGTGTTGTCATGTTTCCGTAGTGTAAAATTGAAACGGGTATCGTGCTCTAGGAAATACCCTATACTGATATATAGTTTCATTGGACAGGTATTTCACTTGTTCCTCACTAGCGTTCTACTTCTTTAGCAACTCATCTCTGAATTAAGAAGGCTTGTCCCATAGTAATTCACTGATGGCACAAGTATTGGAATACAAAGAAACACGGAAATATGTTAGCAAATAGAAAAGTTTGAAATACGAGGTAACCAATGCATTTCTTGAACTCACATCGAAAAATAGCACCTCCCTGTGCAGTTTGAGCTGCCTATAAATGAGGTACGACAGGAACCCGACATAACGACAGAGAAATTATCGATAAAAACTCTAAATCTCTAACCAAATGAATTAGTTCTACGTAACAACTCCAAAGCGTTATGTATATGTTGATATGTACGTAGATCACTGGCGTTGAGAAAAAGTATAATTTTCTCTTATTTCTATATTATTCAAAATAATATTTACTTTCATTTCGTTCAATAAATTTGCACTAGGATAATAAAGATAATAATGTTAAAATAGCGGTTTCTGTTATTAGGCAGTCGCCGACTCCTAACATCACAGGACATTCACAGCTTGTTGGGGTCTCTAATACGATCGGTATCTAATAAACATGATACATTTTTTATTACGCCAACATTAAAGCAAAAATTCACTGTCGGAAATGCATCGCTGTAAAACTCATCGTGGATCCCTTTTCGTTCTACCGAATTTGGTTGGAGACGACTAAATGGGAATCAATTTGTAACTGCAGTTAATAGAAGCATTTATGAGCTCTTCACGAGCTTCTATCACATATCTACGCATTAAGTAAATATCTACGCATTATTGAGTAGATATGTTTTTGGACTTATCATCCATCCGCATCAACCGAAAAATTTCCTGCTCTCTCTGCGTGGTAATGATAAATTTATTTCCAAATTGCTATGAGAGTGGTAGAGGAGTTTGGAAATGAGCATGAGGATTTCTTGAAAGATATATCTGTTCTATTGCTTCAGCACTAGAACTGCACTATTTAGTTATGGAAAAATTTACGACCTGTCTTCGTTTGATAAAAATTTAGTTCTTAAACATAGAAATTGGCCTCATAAGTGGTCGCAAATGTGTCGAGGAGAGGTACCTTGAAATCCTAAGGCGTGTAGTACGTCTCGGAGAAAATTTTACGGCCGGTCTCCAAATTCAGTGAGCAAGGAATATATCCCAAAGTGAAGAAAGTATTTTAAAAGAGATCTTTTGCTCAATGCGAATTTATACACGTATTGCTGTTTAAATCACGAATGAGGGAAAAGTGAAAAAATAGCGAACGAAGGGAAATTGAAAAAAAATTCACGCGAGCTAAACATCACCGTTGGATAGATAGTTAGGAGCGAATATTCAAAATTCCGTTTGAATCTGTTCAGTACTCTGAAAGAAAAAGTCTTGCTCACTGCAAATTTCGGCACGTTTTGTCATATAACTCACGAATTAAGGCGAAATTAAAAAAATCACGAGCTAAACATCACTGTCCGTTAGGTGAATACGTGTACTATGCTCCATCGAGCTACATTCTTTAGTTATGGAGATATTCCTGCTCACTGAATTTGGAGAACGGCCGCGAGTCCAGCCGACCGAATCGACACTTCAGCGAACTCGCCTGCGAGCTCGAATGCAAAACCTAACTTCATTTTCAACTCTGGCACTCATAAATCCGTCAATTATGAACGGATTTTATTCAAATTTGAAATAAAAAATTGTCCGAGACGTGTAGTTTATTGACGTTTAGCAGTCAAGGAACTTGTAATATTAAACAAAGTAACTCTATGTTTCAGTCTTCAAAGTAAAATGAGTCTTCCGATAGTTTTTAGTGTAATATATGTTATATAATTTTT